GGATGAACAAGCGGGAAGGACGAGGCCACGGGTCGCCGGAGCGCACATTCAGACGTCTGCGTCCGTCAGGGCTGACAGTGACTTACTGAGGCCCGCTCAACACCTGCATACCTCAGGCGCCTCCCCGCCATGAGCGTCATCTATCCGCAGATTTCTAATACTGTAGTTTTGGGACACACGAACATATTTTGAACTGGGAACTATCCACAGCTTTAAATTTTATAATTGTCCTTAACTTCATGAATCGTGTTCGCATTAATTCGATAAAGTACATTTAAATTCCTTGCCTAGTTCAAAAGCTTCCACCCCACTGAGAGCATTGCTGGAGGCTTTGTTTTAACTTCGCCACAAGGCATGAGCGTTTCAGCCTGGCCTACTTATGTTTCCCTGTTCGCAAATCGCCATTTTTGTTCCAACGCTCTAAATATCACATATATATATGGGTACAAACTGTCCCGTAATTAAAACATTATCTTGTATTAGTACGATTTGACATGTTCTGATGGGTACGATTTACTTGGGTACGAGTTGTCCAGCACCCCACATGCAAACTGACTAACATGACCCGCTAACAATAAGAAGATAGCTTAACAAGGTAAGGATGTCAGAGACAGTTAGCACCAGAAATAACTTATGGAATTACACCAACATTTCTGGAGACAGTATTTGCATGATGCTGAATGTGAAAATGGAATTGAGATTGCACAGAACATATTAGAACCTGAGACCTACCTAACTTCCTAACCTGTGCATCGTCATTTTGATTTTCCTACTATCTTCCAAACATCTTTAAAAAGTTAACAAATGCAATCCAATATAAATCGTAATAAACATGCCATCTGTTTCTTAACCTGTAAACAAAGACCGCAAACGCTTCAGTATAACAGACAATGTGGACCAAAACGTGTCACCACAGAGATCTGATGAAGCCATAATCCTGATAAATATTTAATTTCTTCGCCTACAAAGGACGTAGGGCATTAAATTGGTAAAATTTTAGTTCCAGTCATCACTGTATTTAAATATCTAATCTAGCCACAGAACCCAGGAAACATATCTCTAACCTAACCGGGGTAGGGAGGGGGACCTTGCCTCCTCAGACCCTATTAAAGGAGTACCTCACAAATTTCTAGGCATAAATTTCTGTACCCATCATGTTGCCAGAGTCACTTTTCTCATCCTCTGCTCTCTTTTCTTGTCCTATCCTCCTCCTCCTTTTGTGACATGACAACCAATGACCTTCAAATATTGTGATGTGACTTGGCTGGCTAATTTTGAAACAGCCATTTTGAAGGCTGGTGATGGTGTGTGAAAAGTGCCTTCCTTATCTATCTGTTATTCAGCAAGTTTATCAGAACAATAGTGAAGCAATCCAAATTTTACAAGATCACAGTGTCCTACCAACATCAAGATTGTGTCCTACATGGAAATATTTTACAATTAGAAAAACAGAAATTCTTTTGTCTGTCCCCATAAGCATACCAGATTGCCCACCTGTGTCCTCCACCACAGTAGCAGGTAAGCTCCAAAAAAGGGTTGGGTTGGGTTAGGCTTTTTTGTGTTTTATGGTGTGTTTTATCAAACCTGACCACCATTTTGGTGCAAATTAGTGGCTTCTGTTACAAATGAAATTTTCCATAGTTTCTCAAATACTACAGCAAATTTGCACCAAAAATGGGTCAGATTTGAGTGCAACACCAAAATGGACGAATATTTACCACATTTTATTATTTATGTTCATGTATAACTACACACCCAGATCATTAAACGAAGTAGCGGTAGACACCCAAACATCTTATGACTGTGGAGCCCCCGTTAGGTTAGGTTAAGTCTGATGAGGTGAGGTTGGGTTTGGATGGTTAGGTTGATACACCCCATTTCGTCACCAATATTAAATCCGTTTGTCACCACTAACAGTCGCTGGTATTAGTGACTAAATGTAAGTTATTATTTTACACAAATAGAAATTACACATGTATACAGGCGACTTGAGAATTCTTGTGTTATTATTATACATGAATATTATATTGTTTAATAAAGGAAACGATTAAAACATTGGTAAATAAACAAATACTACAGAACAAATGAAGAATTATGTTATTATTATACATGAATATTAATTGTTTAATAAAGAAAACGATAAAACATTGATAAATAAACAAAATACAGAACAAATGTAGGTATTTTTGCATTAGAGCGCATAACTTTCCTACCCCAATCTATTATCATATTCTAATAAGTCATCTAATTTTAAGATAATTTTCTTCTATTACATTACCGTCAGAAAAGTATAATAACGGAGATAACACATGCCAGATATTTCTCCTTTTTCTTCCGTTAATCTTCTGCCATTATCGCCTACCCAACCTCCCACTCAACGTGTTCCTTCTATATATCGTCATGCGCATGCTTTCCCATACACGTCACGCAGACAATCAAAAGCATTTTTCTTTTCGTCACCAATTAAAATTAATTGTGGTTTAATTAGCTGTATTTTTGCCCAATCAGATTCGATAATTTTGGGTCGAAATTCATTTCCGACCACGAAGCCTGCAATGGGTGTCACTTTAATTATATGGAGTTGATTGAGCATTTTGATGAAGAAAAAAATTAACAAGCTATAGCATTTATTAGGTCTCATGGTGTTCTCCGACCTCAGTAAAGTGTCCTAAGTGTAAGAACGAATGTAAAGTCGTCAAGACCAACATATGTGGCATTGTAGTAACTCGTTCCTTATTCCCAAAACAAAGAAGAGACGTTGGTGTTCAGACACCGTCAGTGATTACAAAAGAACAAGAACCAGGTCAATACTGTAAGCTAAGAAATAAATTATTTCATCATATGGTGAGAGTTAGGTTAGGTTAGGCAGTCAGGTTAAATCAGGTTAGGTTATCCAAAAAGGTCTGTTTATGTTTAGTGTTGTTTTTTTGTGTGTGTGTATTTTGTATTTGTTGGCTGTGATTTTTGTCGGAAAACTCCCACCCACAACACACGATAACTAAAAAACAGGCAATTTCCTACTGAAATCAAGGTCAGAACCAATCAAACGCACACAAATACACTAGAAAACCTAGTTTTGACTTCTAACAGCGTTGGTGAACTAATAAAAATTTACCCAAATGAAGGTGATTTGGCAAAAGCACATAAACCACGACAGCAAATCAATCTTGCTCTATACCTCCTTCCCTCTTCTTCACAGAGAAACCTCAATGATTGATTTGCAATTACAACTAGTTGCTGAGCACAAGCTAAAATCATGACAGAAAAGCAAATCATGACAAACAACTCCATCTGGAAGCTGTGGGATGAATATGAAGAAAAATATCACCACTTCAAATTTCCTAAAAAAGTCATTGTCTTTTACCAAGCTTGCAGATTAAATTTTGTCTTCGCATTTTGTTTAAATTGAGATGATTGCGGTATTAACAATGTTTATTTTTGTCTTTAATAAATTGTCTTAGTGTTTTTTATTATTTTCTATCCCAAGCAACAGTTATTTTCATGTACATATTGATGGGAATGAGCAGCTTGATAAACGGGTAAAGCAGTGGTGATGGGTGTAACTGGTGAAGCGGGCATACCCGTTAGGTTAGATTCAAAACTGTTTTTCCGATAGGTTCTTTGTGTTTTGAACACTTTTTCCTTGATTTTTATAACAAATCTCTAAGTTCAAGAAGGGAGGAGGTAAGGGGCTCATCACAGAAACTATTGATTTGGACCAAAGGTCAAATTCGTTCACTACATCAAAAACATTGGAAAATCATAGCTTCATTTGATTTCATTTAGTAACAACAAGTGAAAATTTACCTTCTGGTGTGGGTTAAATTCTGAGATTCCTTGGATGACCGAAACTAAAATAATAGAAATTACTACCATATTATCAGTGTTCACAGTGTTTTGGTAAGGTGTTACTGTCGGCGTGACGCCCGGAAGAGGTCATAATTTGGTTGAATTTTTTCTGCATACTAATATCATGATATTAAACACAAAAATGGAAACGACAATGCATAGAACTTAATAGAACCTGACCTAACACACAGGAGCTGCCATGCAGGGCCCAACAAGCCTATTGAAGACTCCTTATTCTCTTGTTCTTTCTTATGTATGTTAGGTCAGGTTTTATTAGGTTCTTTGCATTATTTAGTATTTATTTTTTATATAATGCTAATAACATTATATTAAACACAGAAATGGATACGACAATCCATGGAACCTAATAGAACCTGACAATCTTTTATTTACTCTATCCTTCAAAATCTCCTCCCAGCGACACTTTTGTTGTTTACCTCCTGAATACCTTTTCAAAAGACGTTTCCTAAATGATGGTGAACGTTTCCACATATTCCTCCTCGCCATTTTCTGATGTATATCCACCTCAATATTAAGGCAAGTTGTACATTAATTAACACAATATTGGATAGAACCTGACCTAACAAGCCCATACGTTGGTTATGTTTGGTCAGGTTCTAATAACTATCATTGTCATTCCTATTTTTGTGCTTAATATCATCAGTGTGTAGGAAAAAATTCAGACAATTCCTTCCCTCTTCTACACCTTTACCATGTTTTTACCCCACTATTTCCCTCTTCTTTCATGCCCTGCCTTCTAACAAATAATTTATGATCCAGGATAAACTAAGATACAAAATACTACAAGTTGTCGCTTCGATTTTATTTCACGGTATCATCCAAACATCTGATAATTAGGTGCAACTGCTGAAGTCCTTCTGGTGCCAACCGTCTCTTCCACCTTTACCCATTAATCTTACCGATATGTGATTTGTGAGCTTAAATAGATAGACAATCAGTAAAATCGTCGCCTAAGTTTAGGTATATACAAATTTACACTAATACAGCACGTTATAAACAATACAGATATGTAATTTGTAAACAATATGACCTAGGTTTGCAATAAATGCTTATTTCTTCATATACGAAATTCAATTAAGAATCCGCCATATGTTGAATCAATGAAAATAAATTCAAAGGCACACGATTACCTTGTTCAGGCGTATCAAAGAACGCTGCTACGGTTCAAGGGTGAATCAGGCGACTATCAGTGAAGGCTGCAGGGTTGCCAACTCGGATTTTCAAATGTCGCTAGGCTGGTACCTAAAGTAGCTAAATGTCGCCAAATCTTCCATGAAAAGTCGCAGCTATTATTCCCCCCTTCAGTAATTTGATGCAATAATATTTTCATAATGCCGACTATAATGGACGGAGTATAAATAAATGCATTATAAAAATAAAAATATTATTTTTTAAGTTTAATGTGCTGCACACCTATTCAATAATAATTGCATCCCAGTCCTCTCCGTAGTCGTCGGCAGTATGAACAACTGTAGAGCTGGGCATGTGAAGTGTGGTTCAGGTTCTCTTGTAACTGTGTGCCTCACAGTCCCTATCTTTAAAATATCACTAGGAAGTTCATAACTTGCACAACAGGTGTTCTGTCTTTTAACCCATACTTTATTGTAAATTGCCTTTAATGTCGATAGTTTCATTTGTTGCGCATTTGATTTCACAAAGTTCATATTACTAAATGTCTTCATCTGCGTTTGAATGCGGAAGAATAAGGCAGTGCAATTTCAGCCAGATCATGGTAGGGTTTTCACCTGTCGCATCTCTCTGTAATTTGCCCTTCTGACCACAATATTTTAGGGTGCAGTGGCGGCTCAAATAAAATGGAGGGACTGCAAGCCTCACACAACAGTAGGATACACAAATTACCTACCTCAGGTATGAGTTGTAGTTGATATCCCAGGGCATGGTAGTAGTGTTGGTGGTGATGGACCAGTATTAATTGAAAATAAAGTCGGCGTCTGCTCTTCGATGTAAAATTGTTTATTACTATTTCATTAAAATCCTTTATTTCTGTTATCATTTTATTTTAATGGATATCACTGCTAAAGCAGGCAGTCTGTCATTCTGATAAACACTCATGTTAAACTGGTGTATATTCTTTGTTCCTGCTTGTACTGTTCTGTTGAATGGATAAAACTGGTGTAGGTCTTCCTCTTGCTTTGATTTCAGTCTTTTCATTTAATGTCAGCTGGGAAAAGTTGATGTTTTGAAATACTTCACTCGGTTTTCCATCGTCAAAGGGTAATTAAAAAAACGACTTAACCACACGGTCCACACGTTGTACGAGACTGAGCTGCTTCAAGTGCGGCGGCGTGCAATTAATAACAGACATGAATCGTACAGCATTGACAGCAACTAAGTAACTTAATTTTGGTCTGATTTTAATGAAAATTCACTTAGCAACGTATTGAAAATAATTAAATAACATATAAAATGATATATTTGTTGGTAGTGTATTATTCAGCTGTCTCTAAGGAATCATCGCCTGGCAGTGAGTGTCTGGGGGACTGCAGTTCTGCAGCCCTATGCATGGACAGGCTGACATCAAGTGATCAGAAATAGGCGTGTCCTCCTTCTTACGACCCACGTTCAAATGTATTAAACTTTTCTTATATTTATTGTCCCTGTAACCCCGTTGCTATATATTATGGCTCGAAATTAGGAAAACTGAGTTTCATGGACAGTCAAAAGTATCCAGAAAGTCGCTAGATTTCTGTGGATATCTCTAGATTGCGACAAATTACAAAATCGCTCTAAAATAATAGCTAGAAAAAACAAAAAGCTCTAGATCTAGCTACAAAGTCGCTAAGTTGGCAACTCTGGAAGGCTGTACTCTGTATCGCTGTACCAAAGCTATAAGTGTTGCCGCTTGGTTCAGTTGCCATACTCCATCAGAGAAAACGTGTAAATTATTGAGTAACTGAATTAAACAGGAAATAAATAAAAATATTCATAGACTATATTTATTGATATTGAAATACATTTTATTTTGGTATAGAATAAAAACAAGTCGTAATAAGGTTCAGAAAAATTATTATATTTCTAAAAATGTATATATTTCCCCATTTTGCAATGAAATACAAAGGTAATAAACAATACACCATGGTATTTACAATTAATCATTGTGATTTTTACAAACCAAATCAAATTTTCACTTGGCTCGTTGACACATTTGTGAACCATTTCAGATGAAATGGTTAGAGATGTTAAAGTCTGCGTGAAAAAGAGCTTATCTTGCTTTTTGATCAGATTCACCTTGGAAAGATTCTTTCTACATCATCATTTGATGTGGGCAAAGATATTATCTTCAGAGCAAAGTATGGAGCTCACGGAAATATAGTTCACCAAAATCATCTTGTAGTGGATTTCTCCCCTACAAACGCTTGTCGCTGAGTAGCCGACCCCGCGAATTCCCCAGTGTATGCCGTGGTCTGGGTCAACCAGCGCCGCCTTACATGACCGAGGTCAACTATTAAGCCACGCCTACCTCCGCTATATAAGACCTGACCTCGTGGTTACGATCGACATGAATACACTGGATGACATTGTAGTGGACGTCTCTAACTGCTTACAAGTAGCCACAGCCACCAGCTGCTACCGTCTTACCTAGCAACCAAGCGTATCTGCATTCCAATGTCGCCTATCTGCAACCGAGCAAAAAGACCAGCGACTTCTCGGGTTTTTCAACATGACTCATAGCGGCTGCTGGTTATATAAGCTCTGTCTCTCCATTGAGATTCATTCTGACCATTCTTCCTGAACAAGCAACACCTCCTCCTCCGCCGCTTGGCAGCGGCCTCCTCACCTCACGAGCACATGGCGCAGCTGTCCTTCTTTTCCTCACCAACCAACTCTCATTCTGCCCATCTTCCTGAACAAGCAACACCTCCTCCAGCACCTCCAGCACCAGACTGTCTATCATATAACTTATATTATATAAGAAAACCACATTAAGCCATCCTGAGTGCTGAACATTAATATCTCCATATCCCTACAACATGTTCCCCACTAAACAAACCAATCACGGTGGACGAAATAGTAAGTCAATAGCTTTAAGAACAAGGCTCCTGGGTACAAAATAAATAAACTCATTTTACAGCAATTGCCAAGCAACATGGTACTCCTACTAAGAAATATATTCAATGCATCATCCTTAACTGGCTACTACCCAAAGAAATTCAAGATAGCAATTATCAGACTGATACAAAACCGGGAAAAGTCCCACAGCAGTGAAAACTACAACCAATCTCTCTTAGAAACACCGGAAAAATTTTTGGAAAAAATAATTAACCAACGATTAAGAACACACCTGGAACTGGAATACAAATACAACCTAGACAACACGGATTCTGGAAACACAGAGGAACAAACACAGCCATAGCCCTTATATACGAAAGTATTGCAAACGCAATGCATAATAAAAACAGTGCAACATAGTTTTAGGGGCGTGGCAAAAGCGTTCGATAAGGTCTGGCACTTGGGACTTAAATATAAAATAACCAATCAAGAACTCCCTAACAACTTCACTTCTCTACTGTGTAATTTCCTGGACAATAGAGAACACACATTATAATAGGCAATCACAAAGGCCCAAGCTTCAGACTTTATAGTGGAGTACCACAAAGATAATTTATCCCCAACTCTTTATACAATCTACACTTCAGACATGCCGCCACCAATACGGTGAATACATCGCATATGCTGATGATGTCACCCAGATCATCCGCCATCCAGGCAAGGCCAAACAGATGATGGCATTAAAAACAGCTCGCGCCATAATACAAATAAATAATTACGAAGAAAGAAAATAAAAACTAATACACAGAAACTAAAAATCATACACATTTCAGGATAAACCCAACACCAATCACAGTAAACAACGAAGAAATACAATACTCAAACGAAGGAAAAATACTGGGGCTGACAATAACAAGAACCGGAATAAAAGAAACACATAACAGAGCGCAATAGACTCGCCCATATACAGCTTACCAAATTAAGAAGATTCGGCAAAATGGAAGAGCAAATACAACTACACCTATTTAAAGCACTTGTACGCCCCCATCTTGAATACCCTGTAGTGGATTTCTCCCTACAAACGCTGTTTGTCGCTGAGTAGCCTACCCCACCAATTCCCCAGTGTATGCCTCGTGGTCTAGGTCAACCAGTGCCGCCATACATCACGGGCGGTCAACTACTAAGCCACGCCTACCCCGTTATTTAAGACCTGACCTCGTGGTGATCTCTCTCTTTCTACCTACAGCCCAGCCAACAACACCTCCTCCTGCTGCGGCCTGGCGGCCCTCGCTCCTCCTCCGCCTGCCTGGCGGTCCTCGCTCCGCCGGCAGGCATGGCGACCCTAGCTGTCCTTCTCTGAGCATCCTCACCAACCAGCTCTCTCTACATCACGCTTGTAACCATGCTGCCTTCCCAGCACCAAGCTGCATTCTACATCAATACAACATGTATATAGAAGCACATTGTGGTTTCCTTTCTCCACCCCATCCTGAGTGTGAACCAAACATACTAACCCCACAAATGGTGACTCCCGGAGATTCGCACTCACACAGGATGGAAGAGAAACTGATCACGCTCCCAGTCTTCAAGCAACATGAAAGACTGGCTTATCCACCAGAAGCAGCTCTCATGGGCTCTACAGCTACTGTCTCTACTACACACAGCAGGTTAGACACCTAGAGTAGCTCTGTTACTCTAAGCAGACAGTCGCTCCTCTTCCGACCCCAGCACGCCGACCCCGGCCCAGCAGTAATCCCTGCCGCCCCTGATGCGGCCTCTTGTTCCTGAGTGCGGACCCACACCCCTCTTTTCTCCCTCAGGTACTCCCTGCTGATGTCCTGCACCCTGCTGCTGTTCGTGGACGCAGCTGTTGTCATGAGCCCTTATCCGCTTCTGCTGACAGCCCTGCTCCTGACCCAGGCCCACACACACCCCAGCAGGCGCATCTGACGACCCTGTACCTGCCATGAGGAAGCACAACATTCATCGCCTCCACACCCTTTTTCTCCTCTCTTCTCTCACAGATAGTGTGTATCTAGACAGTTGTATCCAGCGACCGGCTCATTCACGCCATCGCCGTTGTCTCATATGAGGGCATGCACCGCCCATTCTGCCTCACATGTGCTATACAACCCTGCAGACAAC